ATCTCACCTGGTAGCCCTATTCCTTGAATTCTCAAAAAAAAAAAAAAAAAAAAGATCCTTTTGGCCATTATATCATTACTTTAGTTAGTAATAGTATTAAGAATATTGTATTGTTAGTTTCATTACTAATAACAGTAAGAAATAATAGATATATATATCCAAAAATCAAGGAAAAGGGTAAGCAATTGAGATCAGGTAGGACTAGTAATTGACTCCTTGAAGACTGAGCCCTTATGGAGCAAGCTATGTGTAAGCAAAATCATACTGGATATGGTATGTATGTTATGCCTGCATTTTATTTGTCATCTGTATAACCAAAATGGATGAACAGATGCTTCCTTTTAGTTAAATTGTAATGGCTTTCATTAAGATATTTCAATGATTATATGTGATGATTGATTCCTGCACATAACCCATACTTATTCATAGAAAAATATGGTTTGTCTGCATGGGTCTTGCAAATATTATAGAAACCAGATCTTTTTTTCAACAAGAACTATTGCAGTGAGATAGATAGAATGGTAGCTGGGGTCGGAGAGATTCCCGAGTTGATACACAATAAAGGCCTAAACAAGATGATTGCAGCAGCTTTTCAGACCAAGTTTGCCGTTTGAGGATTATTGTAAAAGGAAAAATGTTGTCAATTGCTGTTATGCATATAGACTGATTTTGCAAAATTATGCCAAGAATGTACAGTTTATTGGCAGTAGGCAAACCACAAAAGTGTTTCACTCACACAATCCGCTCAGTCATTGTTTTTTTGACAATTGTATGTTTCATGTACTATTAAATTTAACATATGGCAGATTATCAACATCTATACACTATACTGTTGGTCTTGTAGTTATAAGGGACAGGTTTATTGTTTGATGAAATAGCTAAATATCTGAGAGTTGTCATGTAGATTCTGTTCTGCATTATCTAGTATATCTATATGATATTTAGAGAAAATTGTAGCAGTGTGTGTGTGTTTGAGAGTGAGAGAGTGAGTGAGAGAGTGAGTGTGAGAGTGAGTGTGAGAGTGAGTGTGAGAGTGAGTGTGAGAGTGAGTGTGAGAGTGAGTGTGAGAGTGAGTGTGAGAGTGAGTGTGAGAGTGAGTGTGAGAGTGAGTGTGAGAGTGAGTGTGAGAGTGAGTGTGAGAGTGAGTGTGAGAGTGAGTGTGAGAGTGAGTGTGAGAGTGAGTGTGAGAGTGAGTGTGAGAGTGAGTGTGAGAGTGAGTGTGAGAGTGAGTGTGAGAGTGAGTGTGAGAGTGAGTGTGAGAGTGAGTGTGAGAGTGAGTGTGAGAGTGAGTGTGAGAGTGAGTGTGAGAGTGAGTGTGAGAGTGAGTGTGAGAGTGAGTGTGAGAGTGAGTGTGAGAGTGAGTGTGAGAGTGAGTGTGAGAGTGAGTGTGAGAGTGAGTGTGAGAGTGAGTGTGAGAGTGAGTGTGAGAGTGAGTGTGAGAGTGAGTGTGAGAGTGAGTGTGAGAGTGAGTGTGAGAGTGAGTGTGAGAGTGAGTGTGAGAGTGAGTGTGAGAGTGAGTGTGAGAGTGAGTGTGAGTGTGAGAGTGAGTGTGAGAGTGAGTGTGAGAGTGAGTGTGAGTGTGAGAGTGAGAGTGAGTGTGAGTGTGAGTGTGAGAGTGAGTGTGAGAGTGAGTGTGAGTGTGAGTGTGAGATGTGAGTGTGAGTGTGAGAGTGAGTGTGAGTGGAGTGTGATGAGTGAGGTGTGAGTGTGAGAGTGAGTGTGAGTGTGAGAGTGAGTGTGAGTGTGAAGTGTGTGAGGAGGTGAGTGTGTGAGAGTGGGTGAGAGTGAGTGTGAGAGTGAGTGTGAGAGTGAGTGTGAGAGTGAGAGTGAGAGTGAGTGTGAGTGTGAGAGTGAGAGTGAGTGTGAGAGTGAGTGTGAGAGTGAGTGTGAGAGTGAGAGTGAGAGTGAGTGTGAGAGTGAGTGTGAGAGTGAGAGTGAGAGTGAGTGTGAGAGTGAGAGTGAGTGTGAGAGTGAGTGTGAGAGTGAGTGTGAGTGTGAGAGCGAGCGAGACAGAGAGCGAGAGAGCAAGAGAGCAAGAGAGCGAGAGATAGTGATAGTAAGGAAGAGAGAGAGAGCGAGAGTGAGAGTCAGAGAGTCAGAGAGATGAATATATCTGTAGATAGATTTATATTTAGGCTACCCTATGAATACGAGATAGTAGTACATATAATTTTTAACTCATACCAGTCATTTAATTTACATTAGTTATAAATTCCCTTTGTTGGGAGATCTGAAGAGAATAGATTATGTTTGATATAGTATAAGTTTTGAACTTACAGTTTGTTTTTCAGTAAAAAAAAAAAGAAATTAAATTGGTTTTTATATTAGTGTAGAACACTTAGTAATTTTAAACTGCTGTTGTCTCCCGCATGGTAGAACACTTTTCGAGGAATCCGTTCCTCCAAGTTCCGGCACGTATTTGGGAGAGGAAGTAGGAAGGAAAACTGTTACGAGAATGTGCTCATCACCCAGAAGACCCACGACACAGCGGCCTGTGCTGTCAACCCGAAATTTGTGGCCATTGTTGTGGAAGTGGCAGGTGGTGGGGCCTTCTTGGTTTTGCCATTAGACAAGGTGAGTCAAAAAGCCAGTTTGTGAATTTTAATGGTAATTTTTAATGATGAACCATATGTTGATAGGCCTATAGTAATTTTATAGATATTAAGCAAGGGCTTATGAAACCTTGCTCTTTCTTTCTTATTGTTGCTGTCAGTATTTCTATTACTATTATTATTGTTGTTGTTGTTATTGTTATTATTATTATTATTATTGAATTATTGTTATTATTAAATTATTGTTATTATTAAATTATTGTTATTAGATTATTGTTATTATTAAATTATTTTTATTACTAATGTTATTGTTATTATTTAATTATTGTTATCAATATATTATTTTTAAAAATTTCTGTAACTTAATATCTAAACAGAAAACTTTTTATCACATTTTAATATTTTCTTCCCTAAAAGATTGCATACTATTTCTTAACTTGACAGACTGGTCGCATAGATGTAAACACCCCAAAAGTAACAGGACATGCGGGACCAGTGCTCGATATCAAATGGTGTCCCTTCAACGATAACCTCATAGCCTCGGCTTCAGATGACTGTATGGTAAAGCTGTGGCACATTCCAGACGGAGGAATCAAGGCACCACTTACAGAATCTCTGGCCGATCTCCAGGGTCACCAGCGCAGAGTGTCCATAATTGAATGGCATCCAACGGCAGAAAATGTTCTCCTCTCAGCTGGATATGACTATCAGGTTTGTGGAGAAGGTTATACGTTATGACTAGAGTATGTGAGAACACTATTATTTATCATTTCTTAACCTGTTGTTTAGCCAAAAGTGGCTTTACAAGTCACCAAGGAGTCTATTACAAATCCCACCTTCTTATTCTATTGCCTGAATTTTTGCAAAGAAAAATATTTCTTTTTATTACTAATAGTATTATTATTAATATTATGATGATGAAAATGTTATTATTAATAATAAAAATACATATGTAACCCATACTTATGTCGACAAATGTAGAAAAGGTATGAATGAGAATGAATATCCTCACAATACAAGAGATGTATTTAACTGATTTCGATAATCTTCATTTCTGATGAAGATATAATCGAATCCGGTCAAATACATCTCGTGTATTGTGAAGATATTCATTCTCATTCATACCTTTTTTACAAGGACAAAATATACCACATAACCTTGGTTGATGCACAGAGTAGTGGCTCACTTAGCGCTCAGGTCCAAAATTTTACACTTGTATGTACATATACATGTAAAGCTATGTACATTCGTGCACATACAAGTGAACACATTATTGTTATTATCATTATTGTTATTATTATTATTATTATTATTATTATTATTATTATTATTATTATTATTATTATTGTTATTATTATTATTATTATTATCATTATTATTATTATTATCATTATTATTATTATTATCATTATTATTATTATTATCATTATTATTATTATTATCATTATTATTATTATTATTATTGTTATTATTATTGTTGTTATTATTATTATTATTATTATTATTATTATTATTATTATTGTTATTATTATTATTGTTATTATTATTATTGATATTATTGTTATTATTATTATTATTATCATGATCATAATCATGATCATGATCATGATCATGATTATGATTATGATTATGATTATTACTGTGAAACATTAAACACATATGACAGTGTACATATAAGTGGTCCAGGTGAAATAGCTTCACTTGTGTAATGGTCTGTATGCTTGGCTTAGCACTGCTTTATGGTGGGGTTGGGTGTATCTTTGTTTTATAATTTGCAAACTAAGTCTCCTATTATGATTCACACAAGATTACAAAAGGAAAAGAACCTAGTTCTATGATTATAATCTGATTTATTTAGATAGGAGTAAAGTTATAGAAAATTTTTAACTTTTTTTTCTTTCTGGTAAACCTGACTTTTGTAGTGAAACAACTGGTGATTGGAAATTGACTTACACTTAATTTCTGACGTTTCCTTAGATTCTAGTATGGGACACACGCCGTGCCGCTCTCATGCAGACGATTGATCTCCACTCGGATGTGATCTACAGCCTTTCTCTAAATCGCAATGGATCGCGCATTGCAACCACAAGCAGAGACAAGCGATTGCGTGTCATTGATCCTCTCTCTGGGAAACTTCTGCAGGTATGAAGCTTTTGGGTTTTGAAGGTTCTGTGCCTTCGGTGATGATTAAGCTATTGAAGAGGGTCCCTTTACAGGAATAACTATGGATTGTGTTGAAAGTATAATGAAATAAAGAATAAATTGACAAAGGAGCGCTGTTTCCTATTTTATATAAAGTTGTGAGTTAAGGCTTACATTTGTATTTGTGTTTGTTTGATTTATAAATAATAAAAACACAAAAAGTATCTTTTCTTTTTCTTTTTTCTTTTCTTTTCTTTTCTTTTTCTTTTTCTTTTTCTTTTTCTTTTTCTTTTTCTTTTTCTTTTTCTTTTTCTTTTTCTTTTTCTTTTCCTTTTCCTTTTCCTTTTCCTTTTCCTTTTCCTTTTCCTTTCCTTTCCTTTCCTTTCCTTTCCTTTCCTTTCCTTTCCTTTCCTTTCCTTTCCTTTCCTTTCCTTTCCTTTCCTTTCCTTTCCTTTCCTTTCCTTTCCTTTCCTTTCCTTTCCTTTCCTTTCCTTTCCTTTCTTTTCTTTTCTTTTCTTTTCTTTTCTTTTCTTTTCTTTTCTTTTCTTTTCTTTTCTTTTCTTTTCTTTTCTTTTCTTTTCTTTTCTTGAAGACAAGTTATTTTTTGTCAGAACTAAAATCCCCGGAAGCAATTCCTCTAACTTCGGCATTTATCTTTCAGGAAACTATATGCCACGAGGGATCCAAAGCTTGCAAAGCTGTTTACTGTGGTGACACTGGGAAGGTGTTCACCACTGGCTTTTCTCGATTCAGTGACCGCCAGTACGGTGTGTGGGATGAGAAGAACTTGAACACTCCCCTGCGCTTGGATGTCATTGATTCGTCTTCAGGAATCCTCACTCCATTTTATGATCATGACACAAAGATTGTCTTTGTGGCAGGGAAGGTAATGCTATGATTGTGTTTTTAGGTGACTACTCTTTTGTTGGTTTGCTTGTGTTAACTTTGGTTTTATGTAGGTGGTAAAACTTGATTATATATATTGTCCTCATCGTATGTTACCATGTTGGAAAGTGTTTTCATTTGTGCGTTTTTAAAGTGTTGAAGATGGTGGAGAAAAGCCATGTGAGGCTAACTCAGTTCCAGATCTTCAGCAAATTATTAAGTGTTTGATTTCTTTTCCGTAGGGGGATGGCAACATTCGATACTACGAAATCACCGACAGTCCCCCATATTGCCACTTTTTGAATCAGTACATTTCAGGGGAGCCTCAGGTAAGTTGTTGCACTCTTACAATGTTGTGAAATGTGCTTTGATCTTCCCTCATGTCTGTTGTTGTGTTTTGTATGAGATTGTCTGTTATATTCTAATTGATATACCAGGGAGAATGAATGTGGATATTGTTTCTCTAATTTGGATGTGGGTATGAGATGTGGGATACCATCTGTTTTTTTTTTTTATTTTTTTTTTTAAGATATTTATTGGTAGTCCTTATAATATAATCTTTTCATTACTTTACTGATGTATATTTTATTTTTAAATGGGTAGCATGGGTAAAACATGACAGTTTCATACAGAAAACCTACTCAGACCTACTCTGTATCCAATCATCTTTTATTACTGTAATATTGTATGAATGCACATATACCTTGTGAATATCCAGAGGTTAATCTTACCTGTGTCTGGAAGAAATCAGAATTTGTTCTTTGGTGTTGGTTGCATCCAGTCCAGTTTTTGTTTTGTATATCATTTTTTTATTACTTCCACTAGAATGATTAAATGGGTTACACATGTTTGTGTTTTCTGAATGCTGTTTACAGTTTGTCACAAGCAAGAGAATCTCTTTTTTTTGGCCTATTTACATGTAACTTTTGATCACCTATGTCTTCTGTGATCATTTGATTTGTCTCTTTTGTTCCTTGGTTACTTTGTTTATGTTTTGTAGCATGTTAGTCTTTACACATAGAGGATTGGTTTGATATTGTTTCAGAAATCAGAAGAATGATATTTTGTTTTTGCTTCACACTACATAAGTCATTTACATCAACATGTAAGATTATCAGGTGAAAGACAAATTAGTAATTTTATTTATGTTTTGAATTTAGATATGCTTAAGTTTACAACAAATTGTTATCATCTTCATTAATTTTTTAAATATACTTTTCTTGAATAGCTATTTAGCACATTTTTTAAATCAGTGCTTTTGCTGAAGATATGCTTTTAATCATCACTCATTGAAGCTTTGTTAAATCAGAGAGTGGTAATGCTCAGGAAGCTCTTTGAAGTAGCCAGCCTGCTGTAGTTGTGGCCTTGTATCGTAACATTCCTCTTCAGAGTCACGATGGACTCGAAGGATGCTTTGGTACTTGAAGCTTGCAAACAAGAGAGTTTTTGGTCCACTTGCTTTCTGCATTGGTAAATATGTGATTTTCATATTGCCGTCTTGATGTAGCCACACGTAGCATTCGGTTGTATGTCCTCTGTCACTGCACATTTAGCACATAGAATGTTAGGTATGTTCGGTAGTGCAGGAGTCCGATACTGATTAGGTAAGGAAGTACAGACTGAGATGAATGAGGATTTACAGAAATGACTGCCATGACAAAAGATGTTTGTGTCTTGAAGATAGGTTGTGGTCTAATTTTGTTTGTTTATTTGTTTTCTCTTTGTTAGAATCCAAAGAGGATTTGTAGAAAAATCTTGGATTAGTACATAATTAAAGAAAGAAAGAAAGAAAAAAAACAGTGATATAGGTGGACTAGATATTTGTTGTATGGTTTTCCATAGAAAAGTATTTACTTTGTAAATACAAACATACATGATTATGTATTTGTTTGTGTAATACTATTGTGTGTATGTTTGTAAATACTTAATGTGTGTATATATGGTAGTGTGTGTGGAAATGCATTGTGTGAATGAATAAAGCTGCTTTGGTTGTACATATTGCCTTGTGTATTTGTTCTGCCATATGAAGGAACTGTAACACAAAGGCAAATTTTTGTGTACTTTTTAAGATCTGCAACCTGTTCTCTCTAAATATCATATACATCTTATCCCACTGCACCCATACTTTAGTCTTTTCATTTATTTGTAAACAACTGGAGTGCTGCTTGTAAACCCATCATAAATGTATCTTTGTTGGCCTTTTTTTTTTCTTCTTCTTCTCCTCTTCTCTTCCTCCTCCTCTCCCCCCTCCCCATTGCACAGTATTATTTAATCTGTTACTGCTTGGCCACACATATAGCCATCATAACAAACTGCTTGATCTGCTGGGTATGGTTATATGCGTGGTGATGTGCTAGAACGCATTGAGTGGGAAGTTCCGCTATATGTAGCGGTCTCATGCTCCAAACTGCAGGATGGTTGCCAGAAATCACCAGTGTCAGTGATGCCAAGAGATTTTTAATATCATCGTCTAAGGGTTAACATATTGGTTGCAATTGGCATCAAATGGCTGCACTGGACTGAATCATGGATGACACTGGGTCATGATACAGGTACCCAAAGTTGTGGTTGAAATACCTGACAAGCTGGGAGAAATGAGCAAATTGCTGATGTGTACTTGAAAACTAAGCAACCCAATCTGTAAATTTGATAGTATCACACAAAAGGCATGTAGATTGAAGGAAGTATGCAAAAATTTGTTTTCATGTAAAGGTGCATTTTCCTTTGGGTTTTTATTAATTTTGTTTACATATGGATGGCTCAATAAGCATTTAAGTCACCATGAGGGCAATTACTATAATAATAATGTAATGATAATTTAGTTTTATTACTTACTATTTAGTGATATTATAATAATGGTAAAGAGGATGATGATAATCCTTATATTTGTACTGAATACTTTAACAAAAAAAAAAGAGTAAACAGGTGAGATCATGTAGGCTTAATAGTTGACTCCTTGGTGATGAAGTGCTTTTGAAGATATCTTTCTATAAACAAAATTAACACAACAGAATCACAATGGACAAGGCATGTATATTGACTTATAATCAGTGCTCAACATTTTGCTTGTTAACCCTTTGCCCATTGTGAGTTTACTTATTTAATTGTTTTGATACATAGATGGCTACACTTGTACTAAACCACCAATGAGCCAGTTACAAGTACCGCCTGTCTCGCCCGTTCACCCTTTTCATTGATTTACGAAAATATTGAACGTTATCTTATTTTGCTGTTACAAATGTTTATAACATTATAGTAATTATAATGTTTATAATAAAGATAACACCATCTATATTTATAGCATTAGTAGAAATACGTTTTTTGCGCCAATTCAAAGAAAGGTGAAATCCTTTATGGCTAAGCACTAGCAGAGCCATCTAGTAACAGGGACATTCCACAAAAATATAAAAAATGAGCACAGTTTTTCTTCCATTTTTTATTCATTTTCCCTGACGGCAATGAGTTAAAAGTTGATAGTAGATACAAAGGAAGAAGTCATTACAGTTTTGCTTCAGTTGCTTGCATCACCATCCTTGATAGGAACTAATAGCTTTGGGGAAGGGCATAAACATTAGAGACCAACAAAGAGAGCATAACTTAAAGTAAAACATGTGTTTAGTACAAAGTTAACCACAAGAGTTAAAAACAATTTAACCCTTAATTTTATATTGAAAATAGAATTGGAGTGATTTCAGCCATAATACATATACATATATGTAAGTGTATTCCTTGCACTAACACCTTTATCCATTTAACCCAAAATTGTTGAGAAAATGTTGTGTTTATTGTTTTGTGAAATGTCTCTGCACAAAGATGACTCCACAAGCACTTAGCACAAAGGAGTCAATTAGTAGACCTTGTGAACTCGCCTGATTTCACTTCTACTTGAGTTTTTTTTGTACTAGTGCTATCAACACTGGTGCTGTTATTATTGTTATAGACATTATGGTTTTTATAATGTTATTGACATTACTAACATCAATATAAGATACCAGAAAATATTTCTGAAAATCAAAGAAAAGGGTGTAAAGGTGAGACAGGTAGTATTCATAATTAGCTCATTAGTGATAGTACTTGTGGAACCATCTATGTTTAAAGACAGTTTATAAACTTAACTCACCATGGGTATGCCACCCCTGGCTAGTTATACCACCATTATCTTCATATATGTAATTACTTGGTACCATTATAGGCAAGGATGTACCAAGAGGGGACAAAAAAAATTTGTGGTGGCCTGGCAGATACGGGTTAAGAGGTGGTATTGTGTGTTACATTTTCAGTGATTCTTGAGTCACTTACCTGATAATTTTGGGGTGTATTCTTGTTAAAGAAGTGCTATTATTGTCATTGTGTTGTAAATAACATATTTTGTGATATTGGTTGTTACAAATCAATTTGAAGTGCAGACAATGAATATTAACCTATTGCCAAAGTGGATGGCATATACACACATGCCATGCCCACTGTGAGTTTAGGTTATTACTTGTGTTTACACATAGATAGCTCCAAAAGTGTTTAGTCATAAAGGAGTCAAGTACTAGTCCTAGCTATCTCACCTGTTTACCCAATTCCTTAATTTTCAGAAATATTCTTTTGATTTTATATTGTTATTAGTATTGTTAAAGGTATTTTAATGAATATAATGGCTATAATAATAATGATGATAATAATATTTATAATGATAATTTTAATAATATTAATAATAATAATAATAATAATGGTGATAATAATAATAATAATATCATTCATATTATTATTATTAAAAAAATCCTAAAAACTGAAGGAAAAGGGAAATCAGAGGAAGTCCCATATACCTACTAATAGACTTGGTGGCTGAGCAATGGGTTGTCAGTACTTTGTGCATCTGTGATAATTTTGAAGCCATTTCATTAAATACATTAATGCAATGGTTTCTTAAACTTAAAGAAGCACGAGCATGGAGGGAAAAAAATGGAATTTCTTAAACCTCATTTGGAATTCTTTATATGAATATTTTGATATATAACATTGTAATTTAAGGAATTCTTTGTTGAATAGATTAAGAACTTTTAATCATTTGGTTAAAAATGTTGTGTTGGGGGAGAATGTAGAGCTTTAGCAACTATCGGGCATTTGATAGTAAAGTACCACTGCCTTAAATGGTTGTTTCCCTAACATCACTATCTTTTTCAGCGTGGGTTGGGCATCATGCCGAAGAGAGGTTGCAAGGTGTCACACTGTGAAATATTCCGCTTCTACAAGTTATATGCAACCAAACCAATTTGTGAACCCATTTCCATGATTGTCCCAAGGAAGGTAAGGATTTTGTTGTTTATTTTTATATGGATTTACAATATTCCTAATGCATATAAGTGTACATAGCTATGATGATTTTTATTGCTATCCATATTTCTTATATTTCACAGATGCACACACAAACACTCACTCTTTCCCTTTTCATTTTACAAGTGGCCACTGTTACTAACCATCTTTTTCTTATGTAATTTTGTTATTATTATTAATATTATTTGATTTGCATATGAAAAGAAGAGAAGAAAAAGTATCATCAGACAGCATTTTAAATTTTTTCAAGACTGAGTTGCAATCCAGAGGATTGCAACTCCATTGCAAGTCATCTGAGCAGATGTTGTCCCCTTAGAAACAGATCCCTTTGCAGGGTCGCTGCCTCAAAGTCAAAAGTCCTTCAGTCATGATGTTCCTCACAGGGCACTTCCAAGAGACTTGACAAGGTCTGTCAGATATGAGTTGGCCAAGTGGGAGTGCATCCCTCCTTGCCACATGTCGCTAATGCTGCTTTCCTCTTGTTGCTCTGCTCAGCTTCCCGGCAGCTTCTGTGCCAGTCATGGACAGTATTATGTCTAGTTACCAAGAGTCTCAAAATTTAAAGATCGTTGACTTTCTTTCACTACAGCATTTTACACCCTGCCTTCTATATTTAATTCATAGTTTCCCCATGTTTAAAGCTATGAAATATGTTTTTGCCATTGTTCCTTGCTATTGTACTGCAGGATGTGATGATCTCAGAGGCAGTACTTCTTACAATGCCTTGCTATTTTATGTATAAATGCAACTGTATATTTTGTAACAGCCTCACTTTAAATTGGTTTATCCTTTTGGTAATTGGTATAGTAATGGTTATAGCTGTCTCAATTTGAATGGAAAAAGCCCTTCTTTTCAAATAATTATTTTCCCCTCTGTCTATTAGGTTAATGGAAGCAAACATTTCTTTATAATAAATGTAGTGACATAATTTTTTTCTTGGCAGAGTGACCAGTTCCAGCCTGACCTATACCCAGACACAGCCTCTCCAACACCAGCACTGTCAGCAGAGGAGTGGTTCAGCGGCACCACGAAAGGGCCTGTCCTGATGTCAATGAAGACAGGTAAAGTGCTCTTTCAGTTAGGAAAACATAACTTTAAAACATGGTAACAAGTTATGTTAACCCATTCACGCCGGGTGTCACTTATACGTGACATGCCCACTGTGAGTTTACTTTTTAATTGTTTTTACACATAGAGGGCTAAACTTGTACATGTACTTCCTGTCTCACCTGTTTACCCTTTTCTTTAATTTATGAAAATATTTTACATTATCTTATTTTGCTGTTACTAATCTTTATAACATTATAGTAATTATAATGTTTATAATAAAAATAACCATCGATATTCATAGCACTAGGAAAAATACATTTTCCTGCCAATTCAAGTAAATGTGAAATCAGGTAAGGCAGAGCCATCTAGTGTAGAGACATTTCACAAAAAATATAAAAAATGAACACAGCATTTTCCTCATTTTTTGTTCATTTTTACCCGTCGCGAATGGGTTAAATGATATATTTTAATTTTTTAAAATTTTAGAATGATTTTAATTTTACTTTCTGTAGAGTAATATGTAATACGTTCTCCTGTATTATGGACAGACAGATGCACAGCTTTACATGTTAGTGCTCTCATAATGAAAGACAGATTTATTGATAATCTCCTAAACAGGTATGACTATCAAAACCCACCGGCCACTGCCACTACGACCAACGGAATCTTCATCAGATAAAAATGCAGACAAGAAGTATGCTTTCCTCTCAATGGAGACTCGTGCTGACTACCGCCCCAAGGAGTTGTCAGTGAGTCACATTAGATATTTTACTTCAGTTCCATTACAGTTTCATTGGGATTATTTGTTGAGTTTCAGTTAGAATGAGATCTGTTTAGATAAGTTGTATTTTGTGAATCTGTTTAGTATAATTCCAAGTTTGGAGATACATAGGACATTATTTAAGATTTTTCTCATATCTTTTTCCATATCTCTTTTTCTTTCTCCTATCCTCCATCTTTCTCCATCTTTCTCTATCTTTCTCCATCCTCCTCCACCTATCCTCCTCCTCCTATCCTCCTCCTCCTCTTCCTCCTCCTCCTTCCTCTTCCTCTTCTTCTTCCTCCTCCTCCTCCTCCTCCTCCTCCTCCTCCTCCTCCTCCTCCTCCTCCTCAGTATCTCCTCCTCCTCTCCTCCTCCTCCTCTTCCTCCTCCTCCTCTTCCTCCTCCTCCTCCTCTCCTCCTCCTCCTCTTCCTCCTCCTCCTCCTCCTCTTCCTCCTCCTCCTCCTCCTCTCCTCCTCCTCCTCCTCCTCTTCCTCCTCCTCCTCCTCTCCTCCTCCTCCTCTCCTCCTCCTCCTCTCCTCCTCCTCCTCTCCTCCTCCTCCTCTTCCTCCTCCTCCTCCTCCTCTCCTCCTCCTCCTCCTCTTCCTCCTCCTCCTCTTCCTCCTCCTCCTCTTCCTCCTCCTCCTCTCCTCCTCCTCCTCCTCCTCTTCCTCCTCCTCCTCTTCCTCCTCCTCCTCTTCCTCCTCCTCCTCTTCCTCCTCCTCCTCTTCCTCCTCCTCCTCTTCCTCCTCCTCCTCCTCCTCCTCTTCCTCCTCCTCCTCTTCCCCTCCTCCTCCTCCTCCTCCTCCTCCTCTCCTCCTCCTCCTCTCCTCCTCCTCCTCCTCTCCTCCTCCTCCTCCTCCTCCTCCTCCTCCTCCTCAGTATCCTTCCTCCTCTTCCCCATCCCCCTTCTTTCTGCTTCCTCTTTTTTCCATCTTTCTCTCCCTCTCTCCCTTCTGTTCTCCTCTATCATTTTCCTTCTTCAAATCAAGTTCTAACTAATATTTATGATATGATGAGCAAGTATTAGGTGATAAAGATGGGTAGATGATTGCGCACAAAGCAGCATGAGAATACAGTTGTAGCTGAGTGGAGATAGATGAAGGTGGTCGGGGCAGAACAGTCTGTAGCATCTTCTACTCATTGGGATTTATAGTCAGAATCTTGACATCATCTCATATTCCTGCATTTTTTTTCTTCTGACTCCATTGTCAACAGTGCCATTTTTACACAGATACAGTTTTGTCTTTAAATATGATTAGTATTGATAGAGCATGTTCATAACACTTACCTCCTGAGGATTCAAATTGGCTGAATAAGAACTTGTGGCATAATCTTTGCTTTTAGATGTGTTGCATTTGTCCTCTTTTTTTTTTTTTTAGTTTTGCAGAACGTTGCCGACTTAATCAAACTTCATACATAACGTTCCTAGATGAATTACAGCCATTTTGTAAACCACTTTCGTGTGATGCTGTCTGTCCTTGTGCATGAATAATCAAGTGCTAAAATGTGTTTTAAAGCTCAGTAATGATTTTCTAACACTGTTCATATTATGTTCTCCTGATCACTACTGGCAGCTTTGAACATTAATTTGTGTTTAGAAAATTGTTGAAAGCAAAGTAGAGGTAGCATAACTTGTGTAAATGGAAATTATCATTACCTGTATGTGATCTTATTTAGGCAATTTTGATTAAATTATTTAAATGTCTCGGACAAGTTGCCATTTCTGAAAAAAACATAGATTGAAGAATATATCTCCACAGTTCATAGAACAATCACAATACGTATCACATTGGTAATAATTATGTATTTATAATTATCAACATGGTAACATAATAAGACATTTAGAAGGAAGGTGCAAGAAAATAATCAGATTTATACACAAGTAACTCATGGTATGTTACTATAAATTATTATTGGTAAATTAGCTACTTTAATTTTATAAGTTTTAATTGTAGTTTTTAAATACTTAAGCTGAAAACACTCTCAGTCGGAATTCATAACTGTAGCTGTGAAGGTTAATGTAATTACAAAAATAGTAAAATTGCTTATGTACTCAAGCTGGGCAATGATAGGTTTTTATAAGGTACTTTTAAGAATACTTTCATTACAACAATCACAATGTAATTTTTTAAAATAGGAAATTTATGCACTTATATTAATATATAATTATTGTTGTAGAATTGATGAAAAAAAAATACAAAAACTTTTTTTTTTTTTTCTTCTTTTGCTTGTATTGAGGAAGTGAGGCAGGTAATATGAAATGAAATATTAGTAATGCAATGAAATTAAAATTGAAGCCATGATTGTTATTATTCTGTACTTTGTAAAGGTTTTATTTCCAGGAACATTTATCTCCAAGCTTCTATTAGTATTTCAATTTTTTGCACAGATTTTGTAAGATATGCTAAAAAATTTTAGATTTTAAAATCCGAAAGCAAAGATTGTATGGCCAATTTAGTCATCAGGAGATGGAGAAAGGTATTAATACAGACAATAGCACAAGTCTGCACAGACAGACCTGCTATGAACAAGGATAAAGCATAGTATTCGGTATGGTTACTTTTGCAGGGAAACAGAGAAACATTCACACATTGGGGATATTGAAACTGTTTTAGAGGCCATATAGATAGTTAGGATCAACCTGTTTACAGATTCTTCACATTCTGTCTTTAATTGCAATGTAGATGTTGTTTGGCCTTCATATTTATGTCCATCACAGTTTGCTTTTCTCTTGCCTGGGTTGAAATGTGTTTCATCTTATTAAAGTATTTCTTTTTTGAGTTTCAATGATCAGTGCTTCAGCAGTACTCCCTTAATTTTTCACTTTTTATGTCTTCAAAGATTTTAGTTGTAATTTGTTTGTTGTTTCCTAGGGGGGAGGGGAGAGTGGTCCTGTGTGTAGCATACATTGTGGTCCGTGTTACAGATTAGGACCCAGAGCAGCACGGACAAAGACCTCAAGACATCCACCAATTTGGACACGAAGTTCCAGGCGCTTCAGAAACTGTGGGGCTGTAATGTAAAGAACCTGGTGAGAGAACACTCTGTCCTATCCTGCTTGTATGCCATGTTGTTATCATTTTCTGTTATTTGTTTTTAGTTCAGCATGGGAGCTTTGATGATATCTTTGTTGTAGATGTTTCTTTTGCCTAACTGTCATTTTATGTGGATGAGTTGCGCATATCATACACTATGATTTCTACTACACAGGAATGGTACATAGATGGAAATTTTTGTGTAGAGTATCATGTACTCTTTAGTTACACACTATATAAAACACATGCACACATGCTCGCACGCACACACACACACACACACACACACACACACACACACACACACACACACACACACACACACACACACACACACACACACACACACACACACACACACACACACACACACACACAAAATATATATATATACACACATATATACATATATATACATATATATGCATATATATACATATATATGCATATATATACATATATATACATATATATACATATATATACATATATATACATATATATACATATATATACATATATATACATATATATACATACATACATACATACATACATACATACATACATATATATATATATATATATATATATTTATATATATATATATATATATATATATATATATATATATATATATATATATATATATATATATATATATATATATATATAATATGTATGTATGTATGTTTTCACTATTTAGTGGGGCACTGTATTTATGATCACTGCCAGCACTGAACATGGCTGCATACGTAATATGCATATTATACATGCAAGTATTATTGATATGAAGACATGCACATATAATTTCAGTCACAAAAAGTCACTTGTGGCATTAGAAAACACTGCACTTTTGGCATGTGTGATGAAGGGTAAGGACTATATAGGCTGCATGAATATTGTGAAAATTGTAAGAGGAGCCAGGAGAAAAAGAAGAATGCGTGAGTCAGTGAGCAGGAAAGAGGTTTAGTTGTTTATTAGGACTCAGATGAAGAAATATACAAAATCCTCTTTGAAATGTCTTTATGTGTGTGTGTGTGTGTGTGTGTGTGTGTGTGTGTGTGTGTGTGTGTGTGTGTGTGTGTGTGTGTGTGTGTGTGTGTATGCGTGCATGCGTGTGTGTGTAAGCACATGCATACATGCAAACTATTTCTAATTTGAGATCGAAATTCTCTCTTGCTGTAGGAACTAAAAGTATAGAAAGTTATGGTTTCATTAGGTCTTTTACTTTTACTTTTACTTTTTTTAGATTTCAGGTGAAATAATCATATGCTTTTTGTAACGTCATAAACATTGTCATATTTAGTGAATTGTAGAACAATCAGTTTGGGGGCATACAATCTTTTTTTTCCAGTTCAATCAAAGTGGTAAATTAGTAGATTAACTTGTTTCTGCCGGGTGAGGAAAAGAGATAAAAATTCTACACTTTGGAGATTAATGGCAATAAGCCGACTTTGAGCGTGGGAATTGGCTTGAAGCCCTCTGGTGCTTCGCCATGGTGCACAGCTGTACACCACAGTCCAAGTGGTTTGTTATGACACTGCAAGGCATGGCCCGGCAGAAATGGGTTAAGAAAATAGCCTAACCACGCCTTAGTATAGATCTAGAATATGTGACATTCTTCATTATCAAGCTAGTGATAACTGGCATTGCTTGCATTTGCTACAGTATAAATCCAACTCAGTGTAATGTAGGATTAATGCTCCATTCAGTCTCATTTATCAGAACTCAAGGAAAAGGTTTGTAAATATCATTGACCAATAAATATACAGTTTCAGACATTTTTAGATTAGTAAAATATGCCATGAATTCAATTGTTCAGGTAAAGTTAAAGAAATAATAGATATGCATGTGTCAGGGTTAAATATGACAATTATGGAATATTTATATATCATCTATGAAAAATGTCATGTAATCACATGTAATTTTAATCCAATAGAATCTAAATAAGGAAACAATTTGATTAATGTGAGTTGACATTCAAAAGTAAACTCCAATAATCTTTGCAGACCTCTTTTGTAACAAGCCTTTAATTACCTTACAAAATACTCTGCAGAGGAAGTATATAATCAAGACCACTGGCTCTTTTTTAAAGTGAAATGCACTGCATATTTGCTGACTTAGACTAGAAAAAGTTGGTCCTCTGTTATTATTTTTTCTGCAGTGATTGTCATCTGATTTTGAATGTTGACTTTTTTATATAACATCTAAAGAAAAAGATAGTTGTGGAAATGTTGAAGCTATCTGTAGAAGCTTTTGTCTTTGGTACTCACTTAGGTTATCATATCTTGCCTAGGGGTACACTCGTTATTCATTGTTTAGATTGTTCCCGAAAGAAACAATGTCAAGATAGTATGAGATGATTCTCATTTTTTTAGCTTCACAGCTGATCAAGTGGCACATCACTATTATTACCATTATTTTTTGTTCAAGTATATTAGATAGTGTAGAGATATCTATCATATTTATGAAATGGTTTAATCAATTTGAACTTGAGTTATCATGTATGTTGTTATTTTTTATTGAGGGAATAAGTTTTCAAAATAAGAGATGATTGTAATGTGAAATGTAAGATACCTTACATGTTGATTGGTGAGATAACTAAGGTGTATCATACAGATCAGAGAAATTACAATGCTTGAAAGTTTGATAAAAGCACAGTATTTTAAAGTAAATGTCACTTTCAAAAGGTATGTCTTCAGGTGTTTATCATAAGGAAGGATTTAAATGTAGTAATAGAAATGCAAGTACCATGCAATGTTGATTCAAGATGTTAAATTTTGTGTTATATCAATAATTTTTTGCAGTTTAATAATGACCGCAAATTGCTTTGTCAAATTTTTATTACATAAGAAATTCATTCATAGATCTTCACTATTTGTAGATGAAAATGTTGCCAAGTATCACTAGCTAGTTTAAGCTTTTACAAAAGGTGCCCTTGCCTCTAATTAAATGTTATTGTCATTTGATAATGGTGTTTCTGAACAGAATTGAATTTTCTTAGAAAAGTTATTTTTTTTTATAAAGTATCATTTTCAAACAAGTTTTTAGAATAATAAAACATGTTTTACCTGTAGACTTACATCATAGGAGTTAGAACAGGTATAGCAGCAATAGTTGTAGTGCAATTAGTCACACAACAGTGATTTGCTTAGATCAATAGTTACTTTACATGTATTTGCACGTGTTTTTTTAGTTTGATATGAATTGTTCAAAGAAACTATATTTGGTGTTAACCCAATGCCGACAAGGGCTGCATGCACTAAATTGGACAATGTCAGGAAGTGAGTGCAGTCAGCCGGTCAAGAAAAAAAGTATGTAAAACAAATTTTCCTACCCTCTATGAGTTTGGCAGCAGCTAAAAAGTGACCTCAGCCTACTTTCAAGGGGCTGTAACTCCAAAATCACTGCATTCATGGCCAAAAAGGCATACAACTATTAAGTGCACACGACATAGAGCAGGCTCGACGTGCGTAGCATGGGAGAACATGCCACCTGGAGAGGAGTTTAGATTTGCCATGGCATGTATACACATACCACCTGTCGGCATGGGGTTGAATGTTTGGAATGTGTTACAATGTGTGTAGAATATGCATAATTCAACAATGAAAAAAAAAAAAAAAAAAATTGAATATGTTATTTTCAAGTTATTGGAATGCTTAAGGAGATGATTATATACCTTTAAGTTATTTTGTCTTAATAAATAATACAGAGTATTTTGAGATGCATTCTTTCTTTAAAGGATAACAAAAAGAACAGTGGTTATCAGATGCCTTGCATGAATGTGTGTCATAGTTACAATAGCTAATAACTCACAAGACCATCATTACTTTGAATCCTGCATGTTACTAAAACCTTAAGTATCACTTTGTATGGAACAGTTGTCATAAGGCAGGTAAAGGTTAGAAGGAAAGAGACTGACATGCTATGAAATCTTGAATATATCAAGAATAACAAAGTTAAAGTAAAACCATATTTTGAGTTTGTATTTGATTTCCCCAGATAGTTACATATCTTTGAACATTATCTTTGGGATCTGGTTTATGTCTTCATTTGCCCAACAGCCCGACAACAAGGAGCAGTCATCGACCACCAGCAGTGGCATTGAAAGTGAAAGGGCCTCCACAACCACAAGAAACATCATCAACAAAATCAGCACCAGAGACTCTCCCAATAAGCTGTCTCAGCGCATGGAAGAGAAGGAGATCGAAATCTTGGACAAGCCATCGCCTAAGACGGAGTCGGAGGTGAGGCCAAGGAACTCTCTTTCTCTTTCTAGACTTTTATGTCACCGTTTAAGTTTGTATTTTTAAATTTCAGGAGCAGCCACGATGAATAAAGTATATAGGTTCTAGTGCATTTTTTTTCTAAGGATATTTTTGTGTCTCTCACTTCTATTCCTCTTTATTTCTATGGGAATGGGGGGTGAAGGAAGAAATGTTTTTCTTTTTTTCAAGGAGAAAAGCTCTCTCTCTCTCTCTCTCTCTCTCTCTCTCTCTCTCTCTCTCTCTCTCTCTCTCTCTCTCTCTCTCTCTCTCTCTCTCTATATATATATATATATATATATATATATATATATATATATATATATATATATTTTTCTCTCTCTCTCTCTTTCTCTCTCTCTCTTTATTTCTCTCTCTTTATTTCTCTCTCTCTCTTTATCTCTCTCTCTCTCGCTCCTTATTTCTCTCTCTCTCTCTCTCTCTCTCTCTCTCTCTCTCTCTCTCTCTCTCTCTCTCTCTCTCTCTCTCTCTCTCTCTCTCTCACTCTCACTCTCTCTCTCTCTCACTCTCTCACTCTCTCACTCTCTCTCTCTCTCACTCTCTCACTCTCTCTCTCTCTCTCTCTCTCTCTCTCTCTCTCTCTCTCTCTCTCTCTCTCTCTCTCTCTCTCTCTCTCTCTCTCTCTCTCTCTCTCTCTCCCTCCCTCCCTCTCTTTCTTTCTCTTTTATCCAAAGTAGCACAAGGTGTTTATCATTTCAGTTACCAATACAAGTGATAAAATAGTAGGAAGAACTGGCAAGAAGTGGGGAGTGTTTTGTAAGCAGAGAAATATTCTGTTACATCTTTGGTATTTCAGAATTGTGCATACTCCGTAGAAAAGAAATCAAGAGACAAGCTTAAATCATGAAAAAGAAAATAAAAGATTTTTTTTTTTTTTTTGTGTGTGTGTCTCAAGTAAGTCTGAATGTGTAAGTAGTGTGTGTGTGTTACCTGGTTGTGTGAACACTCAGAAACCATGGTCACAGAGAAAACTGAAGCTCTTATTAAACCTCTACCTTGGATACTCTTTTGTATTTAGTGAGGTCCTTTCTATGTGACAAACCTACTCTTGTTTGCCTATGCTGAGACATCATCTGTACATATCTTGCATTATTGATGTGTTAAACAGTACCCATTACTTACCTGACATGGAAACATTTCACCTTACTTTTCTTCCCTGAATTTTGGTACCCTTTGGACACTGCTTAACATAAAATTCATATTTACTGGTTCTGAAAGGATTATAATGAAGTTTGGAAATTCAGCATAGGTAACCTATTTTTTTAACTCACTGCCTCTGGATGACAGGGATATCATGTCATGGTATTAAAGGTTATCTTGCAATGAATGCATTAGTCATGTCTGTGGTCCAGTCGCAATTTATAGCCCTTCTACAGTGCAGACTTTGCAACTGGATTTTGTGGGAATTCAAGCTTAATGCATGAAACCATCATATAATCATACATGTCTGTATCAAAGCCACAAACTGGATCTTTCTCAGTGCATATACGGTATGAAAACAACTTCCATATTTAGACTGTATGGTATTTTAGCTGGTCCAGAGACTTTGGGTTAATAATGCAATTCATGTACTTTTTTCTTTGTTGATAAGCAAGTATTACAATACAATATGTAGTGCAGAACAGTACATGGTCTAAAATGTTGTGGGCTTGCTTTTTAGTTGCTTTTATTGTGTATATTTCTTGTTCACAGATATGGTCCCTTGTACAGAATTAAACTCACTGTATTGGAGATACTTCTATGGATTATTATAATATCTCATAGCCTGTTTTGCTTATATAAATTTGGGGTTTATCTTACATGAACTATTAGTTTCTCTATTACTAAAAGTCATCCTCATGCACATTCACAGTTGTTTCTCTCTGCTCTCTCTGTGACTCAACTGTCAAACCCAACAGTGTACATGTAGTGCTTTTCTTGATATTTATACACCATTTTTATGTTGTCCTGTTGAACTTCATATAGTCTTCTTTAATTCCTTCAAGGAGAACTTATTGCTTTGTTAACAAATTGATTACCCCCTTGAATCTGGGTGCTTCACAGCAATCACATTGCCCAAAATAAAGGCATTAGGCTGACGTGAGTGTCCACTCTGCTGGATGCATACCTTGTAGGCCAGGCACATGTGAACACCTCTATGCCTCCCCTTTACAATGTTATTTTCTCTTTTTATACATAAGCGTTTTTAGCTTTTTTGCCATATGCACTTCATTCTACACTTGTTTATTGATGTAAATAGTGTAAGAGCCCTATCTACATGCCAAATGAGTAATGATCCTCCAAGAGGTTTGTGCAGCCAAAATGCTCATGACAGTAAGTTCACATCACCTGGCCCACAACCAAATTTTACCAGTATGGCATGCTCAGGTCACCTGCCCTTCAAGCCAATTTTTTTTTTCATGACATGATGGTTTCGTCATCTGGACTAAAGGGGTTAATACTTTTTGATTTTCCCACAAAAATTCCTTGAATTTTCAGAACATATTTTTGCTAATATTGTTTACAGTTATGATGTGGTAAGATTTTTTATTTTTGTAGTAATGCATTCATTGTTAACTTTCATTTTTATCTTCTATTTTATCATGATAAATGAATTATTTCCACAAGATTTTGAAAATCTCTGCATGGCTTATATATTTCTCAGTGTATTAAATCTCTGCTTGGCTAAATCTTGCCTCCTGACCACAGAGTATTTGCTGTGCATTAGATCATTGTGCTTGATAAAAAAACAAAATGGTTTTTAAAGGATGCAAGTCTGTATACAAGAAAGTTGAGTTCATTTTATTTATTTTTCTAGTATTCATGGTTTTGTTGTTTGTTAAACAAAACCTTTGGTCAGTGAGAAAGTTGTAACAATTAGAAGGAAGATTTTACCCATGAGAAAGTAATTGTGTCTGCAATCATTTTTACACTCAAATGTGTGTGCGTGCAAAAGAAACACATGAACACAGACACGCACACTCATGCACATGCATATGCACTTGCACAACACAGACTCATACTTGCTCTCTCTTTCTTATATCAGCTGTTAAGTGAGGTATCATTGCAGCAAAGCAAACTGACTAGGGATTTCTGAGGTGCAGAGTGAGGTGTGACTAAGAATTGTCTTTTGGAGAGGCTGTCTAGATAAACTTATAAAAAAACAGTGTTGGATTTTAACCAAGAATATTTGGTATTATTTTATATGTAGACTTATTCAAGAAAGTTGAAAATGGACACTTCATTTATGATTTTTGCAAATGAGTTTATTGAGAAATATGCTTATTTCCTCAGCTGTTATCTCTGTTCTAAGATCCTGACCAGTGAATTTGGCACTTTATCTAAAAAGACTAGATGTGTTTGAAGAGGATATTATTTAACCTCAAGTGTTATATATTTTCTTTTACCAGAATTGTAATTGTTATTTGTATATGTTATATGTTTTTTTTATGGTATGTAGATACAGATACCATATTCCACTTTGGATTAAATTGTGTCTTCCAAAAAATTGATAGTTTATTTCACTCTTGAACAAGAGAAAGTAGGGAAGATTTTGTTGTTAAAAGGAATTTGTGATGACTGCACATTCTTGATATATATAATTTTCATATGCTACTTACTTGTATTTCTCATAAATTTATTCCTATAAGCTAGGTATTTCTGTTAGTCAAAGAAGATATTCTTAGCCGCAAATATTTGTTTGGGAAGAATATTGTACAGCATGTGGCTGTTGCTATCTGAACCTTATTTTGTTATAAATGTTTTGCATTATCTGTTTTAATGGGTACTTAAATTTTTTTTCTCAGGACTATTAAGTAGGTTTTTGTTGTCCTGAAGTAGTTTTCCTTTTCTTGCTTATCCTAGGGGTATTGTAGCAGCACATCTTGTAAATTCTGTATTGTAGAGAGATTGAATCTTTAGAGAAAGATCCTACCCACCCTTCTTCATTGGAATTTACATGAAGTGCATGTATACCTTACCTCATATAGCAATTGCTGATGAATTATTAGAGAGCATGGAGCCAGTGACATTAAAGAAAATGGGAAATGCCCTTGCCATATTTAGAGAAATGTTGTAGGGGAACTGGCACAAAATACTCTTTTTTTTGTTTTGTTAAACTTTTACTTGTATTTTTAAACATGTACTGAAAAAAATGAATGGACAGACTACACTGTTTTTGTATTTTGATAAATAGGATGATAATGTGAGATATAAATATTTTAAGGAACTAAGATCTCTTCTTTGAAGTTTATTGTAAGAAGTGATTTTTCCTCTGTAATGCCCCTTGCTATAATTTCATGTAGAGATATTATTCAGGCATATGGAAGAGCCACAATATTTTATTACTCTGTAGCATACATAAAGTTCAGACTTTCATGTAGTAGGTAACCTTACTTTTTCTACACTAATCATTTACAACAATAATACCACTGCCTGTCAAGCAGTAATTTGGTCTTTGTTGCTTTCTAAACGGCAGTCCAACCCCAATGAAAGGCAGGAACCGGCTGCAGATGAAGGTGACCCATAGGCTAAGAATGTCCCTGTCTCGTTGCATGGATAAAAGAACTTGTGGCTTGTTTCCCCTCATCCTTGTGATAAATTTAGCTTCTTCAAATTTTGATTGAGATCTCAAGTCTTATTCTTTATTTTTTTTTATTATTTTTAATAGTTCTGTTAATTTTCCGAGTGTTCAGCAAAATCTTTTCCTCCAAATCAGGCATATATATTAAAATTAAATGACCATACATGATATTTTCAGAAGGTTGCTGTTACTCCAAATTCACTTAACCCACTGTAGCCAAGGCATATACATACATGCCACCCCTGGCAGCATTGGCTTAAGACCATATTCAGTGAAAGCTTGATTCAGAGCTCTGTCTCCTCTACTTCTCTGAGTAATATTTGGTAATGAGTTCCTGATTATTATGAAATAGTCTCCTTCATATGCATTTCTGATGCAGTTTTTATTTTTCCTTAATCTG